GACCTGGAAATGAACCCACAAATTTTTGGTGCAGGTGACAACATTCCAATCAATTGAATTACACCTGCCAGGGCTACACTTTTTTAAAATAAGGAAAATTTTATTTCAGAAGGCTCGGTTGACAAGGAACATAGTAGCTTTCCAAAATTAACTGTGAAAAACAGATCATCTGGGCCTGACTGAAAGCCATGCCTAACCTTTGTTCCCAGATATCGCCTTTCAAAAATGTCACTTTCTGCTTATTCAATGTTACTGTCATTCTATTATTTTAAGCATTAAAATTCGTGTTCTGGAGCTGAAGGGGAATTATTGCTTCTATCTTCGGGCTTATTAGAAATAATTTAAAATTCATTCAATAGCAATAAAAATAACCTTTACTTGTGGTTGAATGTTAAAATTTGCATATTAGTAGCACTTCTATACACACACACACACACACATATATATATATATATATTATCTCAAGACTATTTTAAGTACCTTATAAAGAAACAGCTTTCTAAACATGAATTTTTCTTTAATTATTAATTCCTAGAGTGAGGGTTAAGTACAATTAATTTTGTGAAAATGTTGCTTAAAATTTCAGACTTTGCCTTATATGCGTAATTTTTAAAATAGCATATATTTTTAAACACTTGAAATAAAAATTGTTTGCTCCCTAAATTATTTACTCAGTATTTGGACTAAGGTAAAACCAGATGATAAATGGCAAGTGGAGAAAAAAATCAGATCATTAGAAACATAAATATTTTCCTCTTCTGATTTTTCACAAATGATCACTTGTCACTCACTTAGCTTTACAGGGTCTTTACATAAGGCTCAAAATTATGATATTGTAAGGGAGATATGGAATAGGAAGCAGATGATGCCTGGGAAAAATTTGTCCCAATATTAAAGGAATGAATCTGTTTATTCATCCCAATCATCTATAATTGACTTACATCTCACTCTCTATATAATCCTAAACAATCTCATTTCAAATTTGGAACAATTCAGAACAATAGGACTAGGAAACAAAATGTGCTTGAATTATGAGTGCCTGCATTAGGCTCTTTTCAGCACCCAGGGAAAGGGAGAGGGAAGAAGTTTGCCTATGTGATGAAGCATTTCCTGCATAAGGTTGGTTGGAGAATTGCTTCAGCTGGTGGGTAGCAGAATAGAGAGAAGTGAGGAGTCAATATGCTAAAGCAAATGAGATCAGCAAACGAAAACATCCAGAAAATGAGTCGGACTCCAATGGCAAATGCCTTGGCACAATCCAGAGGCTGCAGAGTCAACTGGAGAAGAACCATGGTAACAGGTGGTGTATAGTGAGGGTGCTCCTGGGTGAGTACCTAGGAAGAGCATCTCTGTGTTCAGCTGCAATGTGCTCTCTGTAAAATGGTTTCAGGGGGCGAGGAGGTGTAGGGCAGGAACAGGGAGAAATTTAATGTAAAGACCGGGAAAGA